TACGACTACTACTACTGCTACTACTACTACTACTACTACTACTACGACTACTACTGCTACTACGACTACTACTGCTACTGCTACTGCTACTGCTACTGCTACTGCTACTGCTACTGCTGCTACTACCACTACTACTACTACTACTACTACTACCAGTACTAGTACTAGTTCTAGTACTAGTGCTAGTACTGTAATAGTATTAGTACACATACTGGTAGTAGTAGCAGTAGTAGTAGTAGTAGTAGCAGCAGCAGCAGCAGCAGTAGTAGTAGTAGTAGTAGTACTGCTACTACTACTGCTTCCGTTACTGCTTCTGCTTCTGCTTCTGCTACTACTTCTGCTGCTGCTTCTGCTAAAACTGCTACTTTTTCTGCTTTTAGTAATATGAGGGAAGAGCATTTATGGTTGTTGCTTTTACTGTCGTATGATGCTACGATCGTCCTCATTACTTTTGCTTCACTGGCCCCTTCTTGTTGCTCAGCAGGACGCTTTGGGATGACTGGTCGCTTCCGGAGGACCGTTTCCTTCCAGACGCGCTGCTGAGTCAGTAGTATGCAGGTCCCTTTTCGTAGCAGAATCAAGTATGCAGCTTCTTATGAGGTGCATGATTTAGTAGAACCAGGCAATATGCAGCAAAGCTATGCTTTGCAGACCTCCTCTCTCCCTGCTCCGCCGCTCCTCACCCTCCCCAATAGCTGCCCCATTGCTCCTGGCGTGTCTGGGGTTCACGGTGAGATCGCTCATGCAGGCATTAATTTGCACATGATAGACAGGCCACAGTATCCATGACAGCGACAATGATGACACCACAGCATCATAGAACGCAACACAAATAGTCTTCCTAAGGGCGAACGGGCGACACTGACATCACTATGCATAGTCGATTTGGGTATTAGCAGTATGAACATGAGTAGCTTGAGTCAAAGCAAGCCGATGAGGAAGCATGCTAGAATGAGCATAGTCCACAGTCCAACATGGATTATGCGGTAGATTTGTGAGTTCTACATTATAGCACACAAGAATATAGATTCAGAACGTGAATCCAGTTTTCAAGGGGTTTATCTGAAACAAGGCCTTCCCTAATGCGACAGCCACATTAAACGGCATTCCAAACACCATTAGGGTTTAGGGTTTAGGGCCACGAGTTCTGATGCCCCATAGTACCGCGCTGACTGCCATTCAGGCAGTTCCAAACAATTGGGCCCTTGTGACATATGATCATATCCTTAGAATGCCTCAAAAAAAAGGCTAAAACCTTAAACCCAAAACTGAATCCTAAACCAGAAACCCCAATATACTATAGTAGTTTCCATTTTATTTTCCATTATCCCAATATAACCTCAATATGTCCATTCCTCCCTGCGAACATCCCCACACTGGGCGCAGGACCTGAGATTGAATGGAAGCCGCCTGGCCGTGGTAAGCCCCAACGGGCAAATCCTCAAGGACTTCTGCAAGGTTTAGGGTTCTTGAAGGCCCTTTGGACTTAGTAAGTCTAGTTGGTAACAAGGGGCTTATTGAGAAATATGTCTGACCTATTAATTCAACAGATTGTCCAAGTTGAGGATTTGGGGTGTAGGGGTTCAGGGGTTCGTAGTGCAGAGGTGACTTCGGGTTTGGGGCGCAGAGGTTCTGCCATCCATGGGTGGCATAGAATGAAGCAACTCCGGTAGGGTTTTCAACGTACACCGGTAACTCAGTGTAAGTGAGTAAACACCAGCCCAGTGGCGTTACACTGCCTTCGCAGAGCTGTAGGTGTCTTGTTTCTGTCTGCGCAGGGTGGCAGAGCTTCCTCTGCACTTGGCTGTTTGTCTGATACGTTGCACGCAAGGGCTGACTTGGGGGTGTTATTGGGTCCTCTTTGCGCGGACTGCTTCCGATTCGGCTCGCTCTGCTCTCGGGGGCCTACTTGTAGACGAAATCAAGAAAGAAGGTTCAGGGTTCTGGGGTTGAGAGTTTAGAGTACATAAAGTGCCTAAGCAGTCTCTTTGATGCGTTCTCCTTCAATCCTGCGGCACAAGGCAAATGGTCATCGTGTCCACAATGTAGAACCCAGTCAACACGAAGTGCTACATGATGATGATGATGATGATGGTGATGATGATGATGATGATGATGAGTCCAGTCTATGCAGTTGGAACTGAATTTTGGGTGGGGTTGTGGGGTGTTTGACACAGTCGGCTGCTTCAAGCTTCCTTGTCCGTGCTATGAGCATGTCCGGCAAGAGATGTTTTCGGGGCTGGTTAGGTGCGAGCTCAGGGGGAAGGCCACTTCAAACCCTAAAGCCTCAATATCCATAGATATCCCACAGTAGCATACAATATGCCCATACACATCCCTTTCTGTCCGAGCTTTCCCTCCTGCAATCCTATTGCTTTCCTTGGGCATATGAGCTTTTGTCAAAACTCCTAGTATCCCCCTTAATAGCCCCTATAATACTCCCCCACATAACCCCCTAAACCCTAAACCCCGATTTAGGGGGGATATATAATTTCCTGTAAGATTCCCTATACAATTCGCCTTCAAGGATAATCCCTTATACAACCTCTTTTAGGGAGTCTAGACTATAGCTCATGTGAAGCAGGAAGCTCAAGCCTCGGTGTATGAACACTTGCGTGAGAGTTTAGTGTTCAATGTTTAGGGATTCTACTTATTTCCTCTTATAGGAAGTAAGGGAAACTATATCGGGACTGTATAGGGTTTAGTGTTTAGAGTTCCGAGATGGTTAGGGTTTAGGGTGGCAGGCGACTTCAAGACCAAAACAGCAGCTAGCTACATGTGTCTTTGGAAGCCTTGGGGAAGTACCCGACCTCCATGAAGTCCCCAAAGTCTGAGCTTCTTACCACAATGCCTCCAAAACCCACGCTGTCTTTCCTGCAGGATGGTATGAAGCTGAGCCCAGAGGCCGGACCCTAAACCCTAGACCCTAACTCTTAAACCCTAGACCCTAGACCCTGAGGCCCTAAGACTTAAACCCTAGACCCTAAACCCTAAATCCTAGACCCTAAACCCTGGACCTTAGACCCTAAACCCTACAAACCCAAAACCCTAGACTCTACACCCTAAACCCTAAACCTTAAACACCTAAACCCTAATGGCCCAGCCCAGAGGCCGGCCTTCCCATCGAAATCAACCACTTGGTTATGCGCCCGAGCGGCTTCAGCCGGAGCCCCAAGTGCAGTTTGCTGGCCTTAGGTTCGTTTAGGGTTTAGGGTTTAAGGTATGAAGGAATGGAAAAGAAGAAAATGGAAACTACTGTAGGGTTTTGGGTTTAGGGTCTAGGGTTTTAGGGTCTAGGGTTTAGAAGGAATGGAAAAGAAAATGGAGACTACTACGACGGGTTGTACAGGGACTACTATAAGGATCCATTCCTTCATTCCTAGCTAGCCAAAGTCCAGTTTGGGCAACTGTTGGGGGTTGGCCTAAACCTCTGAACAGCTCCAAAAAATGGAGCCAGGACTCCTACGTATAGGCCTTTCGCCGAAGAGCATATGAACAAAAAACAATATGAACCATATACTCCAATGCTCAACAAGCTTGACTCGGGGGAAGATGTTGAGAGCCACACTGCTTGTCCTTAACTCTGTTTTATTTGCCTGAACCCTCAGAAACGGAAGCATCGTTGCAGGACTCGGGGCCGTATTGGTGAAGGGTTTAGGGTTTAAGGACCTATTGAGATTCTTGATGTTGGGAATTCCTGTGCTTGCGGTTTGCCCTCCCTACTTCCATATGGCGGTTTCTCCAAATGGAGGGGGTGGCTTCAGGACTCTTGGGAAAATCTTACCGGTGGCTAGTAGGGAATAAGGGAATATAGTCCCTACATATCCCTATACAATATTCCCTTGCTCCCTGCAATCACCAGAAACGGAGGGTGTAAGAGGATTGTAGGAATCTATTCTGGAAATCCGATCCCTAAACCCTAAACCCTAAATCTTAAACCCTAAACCCTAAATCCCTAAACCCTTCAGGAACTTTTGACTCAACCTGTTCAAATCTACAGCCTGCAAGAAATATCAGCAAGAGCTTTGAAACATCGGACCTCTTAATCAGTCCGTATGATAAATGGCTCCAGTTTCGTGTATCCCAAAATCCTAAACCTTAAATGGTAGCTTTCCAAAACAGAGGGACCCCAGTATATGCGCAGATAGACCCCAAAATACTGTAATCCCTTTTCTGGGGACCTCCACAAAAGTACCCCTAAATTTAGGGAAACCCTAAACCCTAAATCCTAAACATCCCAAGAAGCCCAATAAGATCCCTCTCAATCCCCTATATATCCCCTAATAGCCCCTTCAAAGGCACCCCTAACTGTGGGAAATCCCCAAATGAAACCTTCAACCTTAAACCCTAAGCACTATATCCTAAACCCGCCCCGAATCACCCTGAATCCTATCTCCTCATGCTTTCCGAGGTTGGGCCTCTGTGGATGCGAGCGGCCAGGATCTCCGCATCGCACATCTGAAGTGCACGTAGGCGGGCTTAGGGCTTCTGCGGGCTTGAGGGCAAGGGTCTAGGGTCTAGGGTTTAAGGTTTTGGGGCTTAGTGTTTAGGGTCTAGTGCAGTAGTTTTGCAGGGTCAGGATTGGAGTTCAAGGTTTCCAGAATGTTGGTCGGGTACTTCAGGGCCTAATGAAAGAGCATGACCTGATTCATCGATTGTATGTGCCTCCCTTAGTGTTGTTGTAAGGTTGTACATACATTTGCGCGGGTAGAGAGAGTATACACGTCTACGGATGTGTCTGTGGTCTCCTACATGAGCGTCATGAGAACGGACGTGCTGCAAGTTTTGCTCTTGTTGCTACTCTATCTTTCATGGTGCAAACTGCCCTGATCCTGTGACAGTTCATGTGCGCCTATCTGCCCCGAGGTGGCCAAAGATGCAGCTTCTACTTGGACCTGGATGCCTAGGTGCCATTTTGCAGAGTTAGCCCCAACACTTAGGGCCCTCTAGACACTATGATCTGTCATAAGCAGGAACACGTAATTCGGAGATATCACAGGAGGCCTGAAGCCCAAATGCCCTTAAATAGTAGTTTCTCGAAATAGGGGGATCCCAACATAGACCCCCAAATGTTATAGTCCTTAGTATAGGACCCCAGAAAGGTACCCCTAAATTTGGGAAACCCACAAATCTTAAAACTGGCACCTGCAGGTGTCTAGTCTGGCAAGTTGCGGAACCTGCGCAGCGTTGCCGGAGGGGCCAAATTCAAACCTCTGTCAGCTGGGGGGTGAATCTGGAAGAATGGCTACTTTTAGCGTTCTTGTGGCTAGGGTTGCTAGGACCAGTGTGACCTTAGGTATGTGACCTTTCTGGAAATATTCCTCCCTTGCTTGCATTCGGTTTCGTGATGGCGGCTTGCGAGAGTGCCTTCCTTTGGAAGAACAGTATACGCTGCTTGCAAACCGGCAGAGCGTTGCTTGAAGCCGAGCGCTGTTACGTGGGAGTGCAGATAGGACGAAATCCTCATGAGCCAAAGCATGAGCCAAAGAAAGCGTGGCGGCGTTCAGCCTGAATT